TCAAAAATGGATTAGATTGTTTAAAAAGTGCTATTTTACAGTGCACAAAGAATGTGGCTTAGAGCAAAATTGAAAAGACGTGGGTGCAGCAACGGTGCTGTGACTCCAAAACGCTTGGGAAACTCTGGACTAGGATATTTGAAATTCATGTACTAGCACCATTGCTGGTAGGAGAGCTGGTCACCCGAAAGCTTTTTCGTTAACCCTCTTGGGACGTAACCCTCTTGATCTCTCGCTGACTAGCAGTGAATCTGACACTGACGAAAACAATCAGGAAAGTAATGAAGACAATCAAAATGATGTTTATGATAATGTTGTGAATCCTTGGATTAGGATTAGTGGTTCTGAATTGGATAGAGATGATCCTTATGAATTTTTTTTTAAAATTAGAGCCTTTAAATATGCCTCAAGGGATAAGCACCCCATTTGAGTGCTTATGCTAATTTTTACCTAATATATCATTAAAATGTTTGGGAGAGAGAATAATAATAATATGTATGCAGACAACTTTCTCAGAAACACCCAGCTCAAATAAACCATATTTGGATGCACAATGGTGAAAAGGAGTAGAACTCTGTGCCAGGGGCGTCTCAAGGGCCTCCGTGGGCCTTATTTCCCAAAACACATGTATTAGGATACATTCATGCTTCATCCATCAAAAAATTCACATAATTTAATAATTTACACCGGTAAGTCATGTTTATTCTCAGTCGAAATCGACGAGTCTGTTTACATGCAAGAAAAATCATGTCTGGCGAGTTTTGCCACAACAATGGGTCTTTGGAGGCATTTGTCAGGAGATTAGTGTTTCATGTTTTGTGTACAAGATAGATCAGCAGCTGCACATCACACTTATGCAGTGTCATTATGCAGATAATCACAGCACACATCCTGCTGGGCACAACAGTCATATCTGATCAATGGAGAGTATATAATGCAATTGGCACAACTCCGGGATTGACTGATCAGTCATTCAATCTGTTAAGTTTTTGGATCCAAACTCAGGTGCCAATAGCCAATACCCAAAGCATTGAAGGTTTGTGAAAATCTGCAAAAAAGAGAAACAAGCGCCACAATGGCATATGCTCGATTTGTATATGTGTATTCATGTGGACATGTGGCATGAACGTGTTAAAGTAAATGGTTTTTATGTCTTCAATGCAATTCTAGACAATATTGTTCAATTTTGGCCACTACAGTAGCGGAGGACCTTTAAAGAAGTAAGTATGTTTTTATTCAAAATAACAATTTTGTTATTGGAAGTGTGAAATAATGTATAATAATTTTTTAATTAAAAGTTTTTTAGGCTACTTCAGATTGATTAGGTTTAGGGATAAATTTTAGGGTTCATGTTAGGTTTTTAGGGATACATTTAAGGTTCAAGTTAGTTTAGGGATACATTTCATTTAGGACATAAGTTCGTGGGTCACGATAACCAAGATGGCGGCCGCGGGTTGATCTCTTCGAATTGTTTTTAGCCATTTTTTTTTATTCAAAAGAACATTTGTTTTATGGATAGTGAATAATAATAATTTTTGCGGTGAATTAAAATTGAAGTACCCACTTCTGATACCGGGTCCGAATAGCCGCAGCCAAACAGATAAGACAGTACCGGTAGCCGATTTGTCGCCAAAAAAAAAAAGTAGGTACTTTGGTAAGTCAAGGGAGACTACTACTTTTTGTGTATGGGATTTCGCAATCGGCGCCAAAAAATCCGAGTTTTTAATTTTCCGATGTGTGTGTCTATTTATTATTAAATTAGTACTTTCGATATGTATTTGAGTTCCGTTTTCGGCCTTATAATTAGGTAGACATCTTGGCCTACATTTTAATCAATTTCTTTTTCATTTACAATCAGTCAGCTTTGAGAAAATCCTTGGTAAATATAAGGCAACTTTCATCATTAAAATTAAGTCGAAGGAAAAAATTTGTCACTACCAAATTTTTTTTGCATCTGGGGAATCTATTGATCTACATGTATGCCAATTTTCACAGCGATAAGTGTCTTACGAGAGACGCTATGTTTCTGCGCGTTCGCAGCAGGTCATGCAGCTCGCTCAACCTAATTTCGTCATGGGGTGGGCCACGCCCCCTTTGTAATGGCGGAAGTTGCCGATACTTAGGAAATATTAATTTATTACCACTATCTACATCAAAATAATTGATAACTTGTGTTTCAGAATGCATTTTGAAGACATTTAAACTGG